CAGGACGTCGTTTAACATTTGCATTTTCCATCTTTTGCTGAAGAAGGCAACAGTAGTGGCCGAAACGTCCGATAACCATATTTTTAGCCAGTGACAACTATTTAATTCCTTTCCTTTTTTACCAATTTTTTAAGTAAGTAATATGTAACAGCAAAAACTGACTTTCGGTAGGAAAAATGTCGAAGATCACTTAAAGGATTTTGCTTCTTGTTTGAAATAAGTTCAGCAAAACGGCCATTTCACGCTACATATGCCTATTTCTGGCTCTTTTCTAAGAGATTGCAGCCAAATAGTCATTTAGGCTTAAAAATCAAATTCAGTATCTAGGTACACGTACATATTGATCAACATTTACACTGGGGACCCCAAATTCAGCACATTAACAATAAATTAGCAAAACTAATAGGTTCTGAAGTCCATACCTATAACACTAGATTTGTTACTATAACTTCAACTTATACAGGCCACAAATAAATAATAATTACAGTGCTGCTACTTTTTCTTTCGTTGCATCAAAACTATAGGAAACCATTCCATCTGAACTAAAGAAACTATGTTATACCTATTTCTACAAGCAATACAAGCTGTACCACCGAAACTTGGTCTCGCTATCTTTGTAATCTTGGAAAGTAAACATGGCGGACAGTTGCTGAATGAAATTTTCGTTTATTCGAAAGACGTCACTGACTCCAAGTTCAGGATATTTGAAAGCATGGGGAATTTTTCAAATGACTATTGTTGCCCTTAGACAACAAATGTTTTCAAGAACTCGTATTCGAGGCATCTAAGAATCGTAAACGCAGTGATTTCGATGATCGCCAGCAGGTCAGATCGAGTGACCCAAATTTATTTTTCTTCGAATGGTGCTAGTCATGTTAAGACGATGAGTACAACTGTGAATGAAGTCAACAACGATATAACAAAGGTATTGGATGAATTTATTTTTCGCAGAGTTTTGCTTGTTTGTTTCAATGCCTAACTCGATGATCATAACTGATTCACAATCGATGTACATTTAAGCTTGATACGGCTACATACGAGAAAACAAACCTGCACTAAAAATTAAAACCAACCCCAGCCTTTTCAGTATACATATACCTTATCTAAGGCATGAATGTAGTCATTGTACTGTGGACCACCTTTGATAAACTCTGTTGACTTCAATGGAAAATTATCTCCCACAAAAGTGTCCAATGCAAGCCTGAAAATATCAAATGGAAAAAGGTAATTTTCTTGCTATCTACTGTAGAATACAAACATTAGATTGTGTGGTGCATTAATATGAATTTAAGAGCTTATTTACCCTAAGAAACAACCCCCTCCTCCCAATTTTATGATACATGTGCCTATTTCTGGCTCCTTTCCCAAGCCAAATGGCTACATTGCAAGATGGAATACAAAATGCCCTATCGCTTTGAGGCACATAGCTCTGCTTTTCGGTGGTTTTATGGGTCTTTAGGTGCCTTTGTTTGTGCTCTTGGTCAGTAGAAATTCAATATTGTCCATGTAAGCTAAATGGAACTGTACAAATTTGCAAAAAAAAAAAAAAAATCATTTGACTGTGAGTTGACAACTTTTTGGCTGATCCTCCAACAGCCTGGGTGGTATGCATTTATACTCACTTAAGTTTTTTCAGGTGTTCGTCTGCTAATTTGGTAAAGTATGGCAGAAGCTCTAGTACTTGACTCTACAAAATAGAGCAGAGAACATTGTAATTGATTAATATCAACACTTATACACAAACTCAATTGTTAACAGAGTTAACTTTAGGAACACCATAATTTGGGTGCAGCTGAACAGGTACCACTTAGACTGAAGATTAGAGCTAACTGCAGTTTTGCTAACTCAAGGATAAAATAGCAATATTCAATACAGGTTTTTGGACTGGCCAGTTAACTTTAAGCTGATGTCGAGAAAAAGGTTCTTCTTCGCCGTAGAAACAATAATGATATAGTCTATTATCATTTCTTTTACGATGTACACAGTTTAAGAAATAGATAACAACCTTTCCACTGCTCTGTGCAAATTTTCATCAGGCAATATGGTTTACTGTTTAAATAACACTGGTGCCTTCAGTTCATCCATATTATATGTTTCAAAACCTACTTCTCAGACCGCTTCTTAATCTCTTCCATTCATGTTTAAGTAAATGATGCCATTCCTTGACGGTTATCAGGGTCATGCTGAAGGTCACTTACCGATAAATGACCGACGAATCATACCGCTCCTGCACCTACGAATTCTGTCACCACTACTGCAACCATTACTTTCACTGGAGACTACACTAAAAAGTACATTGTCACATGACCCCTAGCTAATTATTACTATTTATACCACAGTGTCACATAATTATCACAAACTATTTTATTTTCATATTACAACTGCTAACCTTGAAAGCAAGAGTTGTAGATTTGTCATTAATGAGAGACAGATACATCTCAAACAGGCTTGGGAAGGTTAACCTGTCGGAATCTGTTACCATCTGTTGACGTGTGTTAAAGAAAACAATATCAACATTTTGACACATGTTATACAGACGACGATCTTGTTAACTACCTTAAATATTTAACTGGTTTTAAGCAAGAGATGAACCTGTCTAACCTGTAACAGTGTCTACGACTGTACACCACTGACGTTACTATGCAAGCCTGTGAACAATGTGATTCAAGGATAACAAAACATATCTTACTTGCAGCTACCGTTTTGGTAGCACAGCAGTAAACTTGACAACAGCAGTGAGAAAAATGAAAAACAAACCTTTGAATCTAGAAGCAAGACCTTTTTAAGGATCATCAGCATGGACTCCTTGAGGTCGATCATGCCAGACCACACATCAAAGCTTGACCAACAGTTCAGAATTGCAGTTACAATAGTTGACCCATGACTACAAAACAGCAAAAATACTTCAGAATAGTCGAAACGGGAGTACATGGTGGAGGACAAAACTGTTAGAAAAATGTCTCAAATGTTTTGAACGAGTCAAATAATATAACTTTTAAATGCACAAATTGTAAATTACACCAATAAAATGGATGCTAACAACAACAGCAACAACAACAATCATTATTACTGTTAACGTTGTTTCTGTTATTAAAATTCGTATTCTTTAACAATGACTTTACTAATCTGGGAAAATGGATGAAGAAGAGGGTAGAGCACCCTACTAACTGGGGCCACAAAAAACGTATTTAATGGACGAGCACTTATGACGATACTAACCCTTCTNACCTAAATAAATGAAACATGCGGCAAGGAGTTTCTACATTTCATGCTAGGTAAGATTTACAAGCTGCTGTCATAGCGAAAGCAGAAAAAAAAACAAAAAACAAAGAAATGCGGGAAAAAAAAATATCAAAAAACACCTGATTCAGTCTTTAACACCGTTTTCATAAGTCCAGACATATATATATATATATATATAAGGGTACTTTTTTACAAAAAAAAATTAACAGTACCTTCTTCTTAGCATCTTTTCTCTAAGTACTTGATCAAGTACTCCATTCACCATGCTTGAAACCTATAGAAATCACACGAAATCTATTAATCTGACATAACTGTATCTGTATCTATGCACCACATAAAAACTGAAGGAATATACCTTAATATTTTGCAATTGCTGCACGTCAAGTGAAAGACGGCAGTTACAACTCCCAAATTTTTATCTCACCATACAAAGTAGAAACGCACACTTACATGCCAATGTAACCCATTGACTCCTACACCTGCAAAAGCCAGTCTCGAGGGAACTTTGTCCTTGTAGCACTTGAACCCAGAAGCCGTTTTGATCATCACTTGATAAGCGCGGCAAAGGCCTCACGGCGCACGCCCAAACAAGCATGCGGACATGCAAGAAAAATTCGATTTTCTATTCCCAGAACTGAAGAAAAACTTGACCCTCTCTATTAGAGACACTTGCAGAAAAAGCCTTACTAAGCATTACTAAGCGTGCTTAAACAAGTATGAAAGTTGGAATTGGGCCAAATACAAACGCAATAAAACCACGAATTTCTGCTCTCAAAATTGAACAGAAAATAGACACTTAGCTGGGTATTTCGATGGAAACTTGAACAACGGAAACAAAGTCGACTTAAAGGCCAACAACACCACAAAGGAAAGAACTAAAAGACGAAATAAGAAAAGGCACAAAAAAGACAAAAACCCAGGGGAAATAACTCAATGATTTCCAATGTTTGCCCTCTGTGAGTTTTTGACGTTGATGTGAAAGCAAACGGCAAATTTCACCTTCGATTGAAGTTGTGGGTCATTTGCCTGTAATCTTAGAAAAAGTGACAGAAAAAGGCATGTTAGGAAAGTTGTAGAAGTCAATAGGTTACCTCAGCTGTAACAAATACTTTTCACAACAATCAGAAATCTGCAGGCTGGTTATTGCTAATGAATATTTTCTGGTTATGTAGCACTGAACTTTGATTCAACAGGATCTACCTCCTATAGTAATCAACACGCTGATACTACCTTCAACTTGTGCACAGGTACATCAGTGTTAGAGAAAACCGGTTATATGGGAAGCCGAGACATCTCAGTACAAAGTATATAGCTGACAAAATAAAACATATATGGATGCAGTGTTGGCCTGCCATATGTACCAAAAATGGATGCGAGGCAGCTTTAGCTAAGATCTTTGACATGTGTACATTAACGTGTCCAATAAGAAAGCCATTGATACTTGTTTGAAATGTTCTGTAGAATATGACACCAAAGGAAGAGCCTGTAAACCAACAATAACAAATAATTTATTATTGGTATGCTTCTACATTTGTCTCTAATTTACAGAATGCACGCATTTCATTATTTTCTTATTCATATTGCAACTACTTAGATGTACAGGCCCAAAACAAGTCAAATATGTTAACAACTACAATAATATTGATAATAATGATGATGATGACGACAACGACGGCGGCGGCGGCGACGACAACGACGATAATAATAATAAAAATTGATGTTTTCAATGCTACCTGAATTTTCAGCTGATTCTTTTATGATATGCTCCATGAGGATATTATGCTGCAAAAGGAAAAAACAGCTAATTTTATTTTATTAATTCTTTCTATTAAACAGACACAGACAATTTAAGTTAAGAAGGCTTCAACATCATTTCATGAAGCAGTTCGTGTTCGAAGATACAGCTGTCAGTGAAAACCCGACAAGAAACAAGAAGCATACAATTAAATTGCCTTGTCGAATTGCACCCCCCAAAAATATATGCTTTGTGCCATCCACATCCAGGTGTAACCAAGTAAGAGTTTCCACTCCTGGGACCACACAGGCCGTGACATCAAAACAAAACCATTGGCTGACATATTTTTCGAACCAAACAAATAGAAAGGAAAAACATAAGTGAAATAATTTAGGTTTAAAGTTGTGAATGTCAACCTACGTTCTTGTTTTGAAATCACAGCCTCTAGAGCCCTGAAATTTCACTTTTTCAGACACTTTAAGATATTTTTGGGATTGGACCTTTAACATTTCAAAACTAAATATAAATTCTACATGGAAATGGTAAAAGCAGTTATACTACGTTTAGTGTCCACTAACACAGATACCCTGGATAAACGAATGTGAACAAACACTGTAACTGTACGCACACTGTACATACTGACTGATTTTGAATGGATGTGGTTCATTATATTATACAAACCTCAAGACCAAGATCATAGGACAAATCCAGCAATTTAGATGCAAGTTGTTGTGATGCTGGGGTAAGATTAATCAGAGAACTGGCATTTGAAGGTGATTTAACACCTTCATACACTGCAGTCAGCAACTTTGCCGAGTACTGTTCTAATGTTCTGCCACCCTAAAAAACAAAGTGACAGTATAATAACAGCACAGTAATAACATGATCACTATGCGGGCACGTCAGAACTGTAAAGAAATATAAATGTTGGCGATTATGGTTCAGGTTTGGAGCAAAGAAAGAGCTATCACGAAATTAGAACTACCAATACAAAAGCAAAGAAAGTGGCTAGTGTCATTTATAACCAGTGGTATTCGTTTCAGTCAGGTAAGATTGAACAATTGAGCTCGAGCATGAAGAAGGCTGGCACGCATTTGTTGTTGCACCAGACTTAAATTTAAATTTAACAAGTTGAAAGTGTTGTCACTTACATATCCACCTCAGACGAAAGAAAAAACACGCCAGACACTTCAAATACCTGACCAATTCTGATCAAATGTTTAGGAAAACTAGAATACCTGAGATGATAAAACAGACGATAGCAAGCCAGCAGAGTGAAGCTGTTTGTATCCTTGCACCAGGTGACCTAATCGCAGATGATCCACCTGAGATTCTTTTGGGCCACACAATGGCAGTGGAAGTTGACCAAACAGATTGCAGTGACTATGACAGAATAAAGGAATAAATTTTTAACTATTACATGGACGTGGAGTCCCTAAATTATATTCATTATCATATACATTTACGTTTCCATTTATTAACGAAGGAAAGACCGAAGGATGGAAGGAGGAAAGGAAGTCAGGAAGAAAGGGAAAGGTAATTTTTTACTCTAATTCTAGTTATTTACTGTAATTCACAATTACGCCATTTGACCATAAAAATACAACAAAAAACAGTAACATACCATGTGGCGGTATATTTGTGACTGAACTAGCGTGAGATCCATATTGGAGAAATATTAGTCAAGTTCCATAAAATTCGGACTGCTAAGGGAACCAATCAGAATTCTCCCGTTCATTGCGGACCAGTTCAGCCACATAATAGTACACTGTGGGAGTTCAGGAATGATCTTTTTCGGGAAATTAATAAAAAAGCCTCGAGGCTTCCAAGATAATGCTCGCAGACATGTTCATTAATTTCTTGTATTTTTCCTTGTCTCTAGAGGGCTTCAAAAACCACTTTGAGTCCGTTACAGTTAGTTTTCAGCATGGATATGTACCAGCTCTAAGACCATTTAATAATCTGTATACATCTGACAGTTCAAAAATATGAAATTGAAACTCCAAATTATCAGAATCTGCACAGTTCAGCTCTACAAACTTTGCCAGAAATGTGGAACTAAGAGTTTTAGTCGAATTTCCATAGCAGCCATCAGCAGGGGAAGGTGATCACACAAAGAGAGAATAAAAACCATTCATTTACAACTTAATACCTTCCCAGAGCAATTTTCTTTGCCAAGCTGTCTTTAAATCTTTCTACAAGCTGTACAGGAAGCTTCTGAGCCAACACTTTACATACTGAACCAGTCTTAATAACAGGAAAAAAGAAAAACAAAATAATATTACAACAGGGCACCACTATCTAAATCTTCCAAGGGTGACAAAAAATGCTTCAAATAACCTGAGATTGAAATAATGGGATAAACGAATGTTTTAAAAGCAATCAGTAAAGTATAGTACCACAATGCCTTATTTTTAAGTCGTGTATATGACAACGTTGATTAACAACTGAACACGTCAACAATCTGTGGAATATTTGTAAAATTGCAGAGTTCAAATACAACATCACTCTAACAAAATTAGAGTGAGCTAATAAATGTTTAGGATGAACAAAACGAAATAAATTATTCTCCATGACTGATGCGTGGCACATAAAATGGGTATTAAGATTAAAATAAAAACTAAAATTAAAAAAAAGAAAACCGATAAGGTCGAAAAATGTAAAAAAGAGTGATCTTGTTAAAAATCTCAAATGTTTCAAGCGTATGTCTTCTTCAGTGTGAGAATAGTCTATTATTCTGATTATTTTTAAAAGGTCTGGCCAAGTAAGCCAATCCTTAAAGTAACCATACGAAAAGTGCACACAGTTAATGTGATCTTGCCTCTGCTAGCTACTGTGTGTTGTTCATAATGACAAAAAGATCAACATGATCAAAATACACTGAATGAAAATACACCACGTGTTACTATACCTGTTCTGGCAGCTTTTCAATAACTTCAATATCCCCCAAGCTGAATCCAATCACTCCAGGTTCCAAGGTACAGCTAAGTACAACGTTGAACAGATCATCACTCCAAAAGTTAGTTGGAACAATCTAAAGAAAAGTTAGAACTATAACATTAGAAAGGAAACCAAGAAAGCTGGAGGTAAATTGACCTCAACAGGTGCAAGTTTAAAATGTAACCACAAATTTATCAGTAGTTGTATAGGGAGCTTAGCCAAACAATGACCGCAATAGCAACAAGAACCTTTCCAACCAAAAGGTTTCAAGAGAAGAACACAGGAAGTGCAGCTGAAATAACCAAGTTTTGGTTTGAAAAGCCTGAGCTATGACTGCTAATTTTCTTATTTCCGTTTTGGAACTACCACATATTACACAAAGATGAGCTCTTACCAGTAATCATCCATACAAAATTCATGAGTTTGCTCAAAGAGCACTTTGATTGTTCTTCTTGTATGGATTAAATTACGGGATACTACTTCTGTGTCAAAGTATCAAAGCAAATGTAATACCTGCGCTAAGGTTCACTGTTTATCAGCAGAATGCGAGAAATTAGTAATGGCGGCAGTCCATATCCTCAGACAGGGAACCGTACTTCAAAATTTAAGTTTTCTCTACAAGTTGCTAGGGTTTTTAAAGTTGAAGCGCAGTTTTACCAGTAGTTTTGCAATGTGAACTCGATCTGTTGCTGATTTCTTCCAACCTTTTCATAAACAGTGAATTGAAAGGTATCATTTGCTCCGTCATTGAGAAATAGGTTGTGTTATTTCAGTTATATACACGAAAATGAAAATAGGAGCTTAAAACTCAAGTGACGTTAGGCAACTTGCTTGAGAAAATTTAAATTTCATTAATCTTGTAAGTTGCTCCAACAAGTTAACAATCTATATTGGAATATTGCACTAGCACCCTGGAAAGTTTGGCAGAAAAGAGCGTGCCGGTTTGACTGTTAAGTAGCCTGAAATCCCCGTCAAAAAATAATCCCATAAGCTTTCAAGGTGACACCCTCAACTTGGTCCAGGTCATCACTCGTTTTTGATGTAAATTAGCTATACCCGCAGCTGGACACTGTGCTCTGAGGTCCAGCATGCTGATCACCATTAGGCTACTCCATCTCTCTAAACGTACGAGGATGCAACATTCATTTTTGCTCTATGATAAGCTTAAGTTAGCACACCAGACTTCAGTGGAGGGATTCTAAGCACTCAATGGGAGCATGCTTTTTATTACTGAGGAGGCAGTGTGGCCAAGTGGTTTAGAGCGCTGGTGTTGCAATCCGGAGGTCCTGGGTTCAAGGCCTCCACCCTGCCACTAGCGGGATTTGTTTCTCGGTAGTCCCGAGTTCAAATTCTCAGTCACACTTTGTAAATAGCCAACTGGTCTGCCTTCTGCCAGTTGGGATTTTTAACTATGTTACGTTTATTTGAAATATTTGTTTCCTTTGTTTCAGTGGCATGCCTGTAAACTACATGTAGCTAAGCTTAGTGCTTGTATAGCTAAGTGCATGTCCACTATTAATAATATTTATATTGTGAAGGTGAATTAATCAACATGACACGAGCGTGAG